ACTTGTTTTAACATGTTGCAAGCATGCTTAGCACACTGCTAGCCTGTTAACATGTTGCTAACATGTTTACCATGTTGCTAGTATGTTTAGCACACTGCTAGCCTGTTTTAGTCTGTTGCTAGCATGTTTTAGCACATTCCTTACATGTATATTAGATAGCCATGCTGAAAAAAATATATATATATACACCATCACAAAATCTGTAATGGTTTTACTGGCTATAATGAGACTTGTATTGGTTTTAGTAGAAACTGTAATGGACCCTGTGGGCCTCTACTGGTAATTGATCACCTTCTATTGGTGGCTTGTTAAATCCAATAAATCCTAATGGAATATGTCCCAAAACACTACAGAAAACCATTTGTTAATAGTTTCAGTGGTTAAAAGTTGATGGTTTGTAATGGTGTTTGCAGTGGAAGCCATTAGAATGTTCTGTGATGATTCTATTGTTTTTTTCAGCAGAGAGATTAGAAATATTAGATGGAAAGGAAGCTGAAGAGATTGTGAACATTCGATGGGAGTTTTATCATCAGGTCTGACCTGAGTTTGGTGGGTGTAGTTCTAGGATCATTTATTCTCAGAAAGCTCAGAATAATGACAATATTAAATCCAAACAGCATAACAGTCTTCCTCTGCGCTGATGCTGTCTCTGCTCGCTGAGGTGAATCAGTCATTACTAATCCCTGAAACGGCTTGGTTGAGTGGTTTTGTGTGCAGACAGATGCAGCTGTGTGTGCCAGAGACCAGCTCAGCTGCTGCCAGACGGTTGTTTTCACGCACATCAAGAGCTGAGCGCGCCGAGACATGTTCATTCACACAATGCCATCCGATCGCAGGCCTCCTGCAAAGAACAAACATCGTCAGAGTCCATCGTCCATTTCATTCAACTGCTCGGTTGCCAGTGTTTAATGTTCTGTGACAGATTACAGAGTTAGGGCTTTTATGTCTTCTGAAAGAAACTAAAAAGACCTTTCTTTCTACAGGGACTGGTTTGGAAGAGACCAAAATAGTTTGAAAAAAAAAAAAAAAAAAAAAAAAAAAAAAAAAAAA